CTATATATATACTACACACATACTATATATATATATATATATATATATATATATATATATATATATATGTATATGTATATGTATATATACATATATATATATATATATATGCATATCTTTGTATGTTTATGTGTGTATTTGTATTTGTGTGAGTGTATGGATGCGCGTGATATCTTTTCAGATCTTCACAAGTGATTGCCATTATTTTAAATATCGGATCAAACTAATCCCCGCACCGTGCGCCATTGAATAATGGCTATGACGTGATTAAAGTGTGATCTCTATATATTCGGACGTTGTACTGACATGTCTGTAGATAATCAACGTCTTCCGATAGATATGTACGATTTAAATGGCTTCTCCTTCATCCCCGTGCAGTATGAAGTCTGCGAATGTACTGCTCGAGATACCACCCGTGGAGGAAGGGGGTAGGACCGAACTTCCTGTGGGAACCAGAGTGAACGCCATAGTTATTGGAATGCTATGAATTTAATAATACTAAAACTATCATTATCATGCTAAAACGCTGCAAGAAAGCATACTTTTTTACCGTCAGTTGGTCATGTGGTCGTGTTTGTGACACAGGCGCTGTTTAATATTTGAAGTTCGTTAATAACCACTCTCTATCATTACTGCTGAGAGTTTTGAGCGTTGAATTGTGCTTAGAGTTAGATACACAGAATGCGCCGCACTCTCCTACTGATATGTATATCAGAGACGAACATGCTGAGCTTGTCTTTATTCTCAATACCACTGTTGAGAATTCTAAGTGACTGATTGTGCGTTATGTATATATACACTAATTTATATAAATATATATACTGATTTATATACATACTGATTTTATGTATGCTCTAATTTGTACTCTCGCACTTCCAAATCAGTATATTGAGGAGGAAGCGTGATACCGTGGTGGTATGGGGTGAAGCCGTTTTGCCAGAACATCTAGGATAATGATATGGCATCACCCATCAACTAAGACACTAAAGATAAGGACTTGTATATGCCACCCCTATGGTGCGTGCCTCAGCCGGGTACATACATGTGCGAGTCTAGCATGCATACATCCACCGTTCCAGGTAGAGATGTCTGTTAGCTATTTGTTTATTGATATTGCTCGGAATAATACTATAAATAAACAATGGACATCTAGAACTATCTATTGTGTTATTATTTACACCTGCGCAGTTCTTAGCCAATCATATCACGAGAAAATGATTGCTGTGTTTAAAAAATAAAATACTAACTACCGGGGCAAATATTAAGTTGCAATTCGTTAAAGATGTCCGATACAAAAGTTGAACGTAAACGCGTTTTTTATTCGACCTATACGGGTCAAAAAACTGGGGGGAATTCTTCCATAGACGAACAGCCTCCTGGACTTAGAGAGTGAAACCTTTGGACGTCAGGGCTCCGATATTGCACCTATAGAGACACATATAGGACCGTTATGGCATTAACGTAAATTTATTCAGCGTTTATACGCTTCAACGCAACAAGTGTGGGACATGGGACTGTGCCACCGTGGATCCGTGGGATCGGGGAAAAACCAGTCGTTGACTTGTTGAGTGGGTCACATTAGGTTTTTAATTAATATTTGTTTTGAAATAGATTATAATTAGGAAGAAAGAATATTTTATGTGGTGACCTCAGACAGTCCAGTCAGTGACTCGCGGATTGGCTCGATGGACCTAAAATATATAAAATAAAACATTCAAAATCAAATACCAAAACCACCCTGAAAAGGAAAACAAAATACATACTTCCCCCAAAAAAAAGTTTTAATTTAGGAGGCTATGAAAAAACCAAAAACCCCCCCCCCCCCCCCACCAAAAAAAAGCCAAAATAAATAAAGAAGTTTTAAAAAAATATCACAACCCGAAACAAGCCGGTGCCACTGCCTGGTCAAAACCGTAAAATGGTAAATACAACACTGTGAACAACGGTATAGATCCTTTTTATTTTATTTTACAATAATATTATTACACATATTTATACATATGTAACGATACTTTCATGCGAAGTATAGGAATATTGAAGTACCCTACACAGGATACATCATACATGACGTATCGTTTGCAGTTAGACGTATTGTTTGCAGTTGTAGTGTTGTAGGTCGTAGCTGGCTCGGCCGTAGTTATTGTATACCATCTGTACAGTTATACTCATATTAAGTAGCTTGCTGTTATTCAGTTGTGATTCTGCTGAGCTGATTTGGGCGGTTGGGATCCCGTTCTACATCCGTGCGAGTTCCAGAGGTGTTTCATAGGCTTGTAGCCATCACCTCGTACGCACAGCACAAATGTAAAGCATTGCACGCAAGACACCACAGTATCACAGCTGCAATATAATATAGTAACTCGGTCTTACACTCTCTTTCACTTATGATAAGTAAGCATGGCAAGTCCCAAAACACAACATGCTGCCGGCTTACGTCCGCCGGTCGATCCAAATGAGTTCGAACATGCACCTGTGCGGTCTACACTAACCAATGACTTTGCACAGGCAAGCTTAGGCCCACAACGGTACAATGCCAAGCGCAACAACAACATAGCGCCTGCAGGAGGAGCCCCATACGGATACGGCCATGTTAATGCAGGCCCGGTACAGGTGTTTCGTCAAGGGTACGTAAATAATCAAGGTACTCAACAGAGTAGCGAGGCTATGGTCCCACAGGACGAAGAGAAGGGTGGTTCTGAGGTGTCGGTGTGCGCTAATTGTAAGGGTACGTCGACTACACAGTGGCGGCGAGGGAACGAGGGGCAAGTCTTGTGCAATGCGTGTGGTATATACGAACGCAAGAACGGTACTATGCGACCACTGAAGCTGTGTGATCGCCGAACGTTCACACGAGTAAAGCATAAGAATGGTAAAAAAATGACGTCGCAGGGAGATGACGCGAAGGGTAAGAGCGGGGGTAAGCAAGGTAAGAAGAAGAATGATAGTCAGAAAAAGGGACAATCCCAGGACGCACCTCAAACCAAACAGAAAAGTTCTGGGACTACCAAAGACCCCGTGCGAAGGAGTGCGAGTGGGCTGGAGAGTGCGCGTGTAGAGAGCATCGAAAGTGGTGTGAAGGGCCAGGACCAAGAGCGCCCGGCAGATACATTCAGGACAGCTGGGCCACCCGAGCGAACGATTCAGCGGGGTGTTAGTGGAGATGTCGGTGGACATGCGAGTGTGACAATGCAGGAGAACTCGGGTTACGGCTGTGTGAGCTGCCCCAGGCCTCTGACTATAGCCGATCTCAATGCACGCAGACAACAGTGTCACAAGTGTGTTAGTATGGGGGTATACCCTGTACCGGGACCAGACGGCCCGCCCCCACAGTACGATGGGCCTCGGGGACCACAACCCGGATATTCAGGTGCATACAACGGAGGTACTGAGGCCTATACTCAGGGCCAACCACAGTTCCGGCCGTCTACTGATATGCCAACCCAACAACGTGACCCGCGCTACCAGGGTACCGGTAGTCAGGGCTATAACCATAGCAACCCCCCAGACGACACGGGTGCAGGCTATTATCAGGAGACCAACGTACGGAGTGCCCCGCCCCCCCGCAGCATGAGCAGCATACCCTACCGCATGCCAGGGCAGGGCAGAGCATCCAGGACACAGTCCGATTCTCTGTACCCGGTCGCGGCCAAGGTCAGACATCCGTTTGCCACCACACACTCACAGAGTAATAGAGACCCCGAGGAGCAGCCCCATGCACCTCCTCAACAGGTGCAGGGCTATGCGAGGCACGGCCGAGGCGACCCCGAGTTTGGCTACAATGAACCGCAGGACCGCCAGGAGTTCTTCGGGGCGGCCGGGAGACAGTATAGTGGCGACCGCTCGTATGGGCAACCGTTCCCGCCAGGCGAAGCTCGGCAGGACGGGGATGTGGGGGAGCACGGCCCCGCCTGGGGAAGTACGCAGCAGGGTGTGTATGGCAGTGGGGCGAATAAATTTCGGTACGATGAAAACGAGGGCGAGCGTGAGCGTATGGTCATGCAGCGCACGTCCAGCGGTCCTGTGCGCCCGTATGGAGGTGTGGGTGGGCCGGAGCAGGTGCTTATGGCCCAGAATAGCATGGGTCATGAAGGGGACGAGGGCGAGAGAGTTTACCCCGAAAGAGGCTACTATTCACACCAGGCCATACGTAAGACTGGAGTGTATGACCCGGGTTCTAGTGCGGGGGGGCCGACGCGCAGGACTACATCGTCCTCGCACTTGCGTAGCCCGTATGGCTCGAATAACAGCAGTACTATAGTTGGGAGTGGCACGGGTAAGGTGCTCGCACGCCTTAATCAGCAGTTGGAAAGTTCGCCTGGGATGGGTGTGCAGAGCTCATACGAAGGCAGAGAGGATATCAGGGACAGCAGACACAACAGCGGTGATGTAGGTCCAGAACGAGAGGGCGAGGCTGGGATGAAAGCCACGCCCAAGATCTGGGGGCCGTACCTCAACGACGATACGGTGAAGGAGCATACCGCGTCAGAGAAGTACATGGCCAATCACCAGGAAACCAATGCGTCGCCTAAGTCCCATCGCAGCTATGTGGGCCTACACCCACACAGTCCTCAGGACCGTGCTACACGCTCCGTGTCCTGGCAGCAGCAATCCTCAGTCCGGGGTGCATCGGGACATTACTCCGGTGTGCGCTCGACCCTGGCAAGGCACTATACGCAACAGCGGCATATGGACCAAGCGGAAGCGCACGGCAGTATAGATGAGCGTATGAGCGGGGGTGATGGAGACCCAGGACAGTCCCAGGTGAACGCGCACCCGTCGGCTCCCACACATCGTACACATACGCCGGCGGCCTTTCACCCGTGGCATACGGAGGAAACACTGCAGCGCTCAGAGCCTAAGCAACAGTATGTGAGCAGCACCAGTATAGCCGAGACACGGGAGGGCCATACACAGAACGCCCCGGCTATGGAGAGTGAGTCTATGGGCGAGGACGATCGTGGGGGGCGGCATGTCCGGACCATGACCATGCCAAACACCGCAGCCGACACAGATATGGGCATGGACAAGCGCAATGCGTCGCTATCACCCCATCCGCAGATGCGGCCGTCACGCCACGCCTCGCCAGAGCTGTCCCGGGTGCAGCGGTCCTTTTCGGATAACTACCGGGTGCGCAGTGCCCTGGATGTGGGCCGAGATGCGCCTAGCTCTGGCTCGGCAGTCAACGGGCCCAGAAAGTTCTTGGTACCTCCGCGTATGTCTGCCAACGGTGTGGGCGGCACTCGGGGCAGCGAAGCCACGAGTATGGTAGCCCAGGGTGTGCAGGACGTGCCTAAAGATGTAGCCGGTGCACATGCGATGATCGACCAGCATATGAGCATGGGAAACTATCTGGACGCACCCAGGGCCTCGAAAATGGACCACAGGGGCCCTGCTGGGTCTGGTAGGGAGTCTGCGGGAGGCTTCGGACCTACGCGCAGACTGCACACGTACTCGTCTCCACGGTTGATGACGAAGCCGTCGTCGAATACCACGTCTCCGAAGATCAGTCCGATATACGCACGCGAGAGTGGGGATGTGTATATGGCCGAAATGCGGGCGCCGGCCGCACCGATGGACAGCGAAGAAATGCGACACCACAGTTCGACAAGTAGCTCGGGTAGTGTAGACAATCGTGCGTACCCCTACGCACACGGATCTCAGGCTGTGGGTCAGATATCGGCCTACTCACACGCGCCGGCGCTGGGCCCTGGCCATGCCTCGGCGAAGCAGAGTATGAGCAAGCTGTCCGGTACTTCCGGGCAACGGCAGTGTACGATGTGCGGGGCTACGGAGACGGCGCAGTGGCGATCGGGTGCTGATAAGGAGATCCTGTGCAACTCGTGCGGTCTGCGGCAGAACCACTTCCAAAATCGGGAAGAGAAGAACGAGAGGCGCCGGAAACGGTACTGGGCCAACCAAGAAGCGAAGAAGACGAAGGGGGTGCAGGCACAGGGGAATGGGAACGAGCAGGCGGGTCACCAGAGCAAGCAGCAGAAGGAAGGGATGAGTCAGCAACCACCCGCCCAGCATAACCAGCGCGCGCAACAACCGCGGGTGACGGATCACCCGCAGGACGATGACGGGGACACGATGATGAACTCTAATGAGGTGTATACTTAAATGAACTCTAATGAGGTGTATACTTGAATGAACTCTAATGAGGTGTATACTTGAATGAACTCTAATGAGGTGTATACTTAAATGAACTCTAATGAGGTGTATACTTGAATTAACTCTAATGAGGTGTATACTTGAATGAACTCTAATGAGGTGTATACTTAAATGAACTCTAATGAGGTGTATACTTGAATTAACTCTAATGAGGTGTATACTTGAATGAACTCTAATGAGGTGTATACTTGAATGAATTCTAATGAGGTGTATACTTGAATGAACTCTAATGAGGTGTATACTATAATGAACTCTAATGAGGTGTATACTTGAATGAACTCTATTGAGGTGTATGCTTGAATGAACTCTAATGAGGTGTATACTTGAATGAACTCTAATGAGGTGTATACTTGAATGAACTCTAATGAGGTGTATACTTGAATGAACTCTAATGAGGTGTATACTTGAATGAACTCTAATGATGTGTATACTTGAATGAACTCTAATGAGGTGTATACTTGAATGAACTCTAATGAGGTGTATACTTGAATGAACTCTAATGAGGTGTATACTTGAATGAACTCTAATGATGTGTATACTTGAATGAACTCTAATGAGGTGTATACTTGAATGAACTCTAATGAGGTGTATACTTAATGAACTCTAATGAGGTGTATACTTAAATGAACTCTAATGAGGTGTATACTTAAGTATCTCATGGCTTGCCCATCGGTTGACTGTGAAAAGTTTTGTGCCTTACATATATCAGCAACATTATACACAGCACAACACAACACAACACAAATTATTAGCATTATACACAGTATAGTACACATCACCATCAGAATATACAGTATATCATACAGCACCCAGTAATACACAACACACTGAACACGCCGGTCGCATGTATTGTGCGTCCGAGTATTGGTAGTAACAATCTATCAGTGAACAACATCACCTTGAGATGCGATACGCGAGGATGCCTCTATTCAAGTTTTGTGCCCTGGCCCCAGGACCACGGCAATATCCGGGTTGTCGGATTGCAGCCAGACTTGCACGGCTAGGCTTATTATATTATAATGTATGTCCGCACCCGAGTGTTTCCATATATACTGATCCGTAAGGTGGATGCACTACATTGAGACCTCCGTATCCGTATTGTCCTGACTAATCCTAAACCCTAAATAACACCACGGAGTAGATTTTTCTTTCTTTATTTATATGACTCATTTTATATATATATCTCATTTTTTTAAGGTATAAATTGACAGAGTAACCCATGGTTAATAAGGCAAGTAAAAGATATATTTCCGGATATTTACTTATTATGCTTAACAATTCGTTATGCTTAACCGCAAACATATTTATTACAAACAGACGCCAAGCATTACGCTAAGTTTGACAACAATTTGTCTAATATCCAGCCAGTATCTTATGAATCCTGCATAAGTAAGTGGGATGGCATATCAACGAGATGGTTATGTATTCCTGGTATCTGTGCTATACCAAAACAAACAATCAGCAATTATGTTTTGCCAACGGCTTCCCAACTGCGAATAACATATTCTTCAAGTTGTTTTAGAGCAGTAGCAGCATCCACGAGTTTGTTGATTCTTATTGCAAAGAATTATAAAATAATTGTGCTTATTTTCGTTGATAGTTCGGTAAATTACTCCACCTATAGACGTATCTAATACAATAATGGCTACCTGAGAAAGGTACACCATTATGATCTCAACTGCAACTACTTTGAACACATCGCCGCGTTGACTAGCTCAATGTTTTCTTGGTCTAAATTGTGTGAGCGCAAGCGAATGTACTGCCAAATTTAAAATTGTCAAAGTTCTACATAAAGTTGACGTCTTCTCCGATTTAAAAAAAATTCATACGTCTCGCTCTACTGTCAGTCGTTTCCTTGTGGCCAAGAAACTAGATCATATTTCAAGCGACCATGGACTTCGCATTGTTAAGCATGAGCTAGGTCCCATTAAAGTGTTTCCGCAGAAGTCCGAAAAACGTTTCATGCTCGGCAGCTGTCAATGTAAGATATAGCTATTCATTGGTTCCTCGTTATTTTTTTCAATTGCATGTAGCCATAAGAAACGCATTCACGAAAGGACTAGTTTACAACATGTATTTCATCCGCATGCTGTTATAACAATGAATTTCCGAAGATTTCTGCAGATTGTTCGACGTGGTAGTTATCTCGACGTGTACGGAAGTTGTGAGTACATCTGTATGTGGAGTCGCAGTTTGCATCGTATGTCTCTGTCACAGCAAGGTTGTTACACAAATGCGACCAAGTTCGTACAAGAATTTTCATCTGACCTCCACGTACTTGTTTCAGTTTGAATATCTTGTTGAAATCGGTGTGCATATATGTGGTTGGAGTGTTTTGGCCCACACATACCATTACAGGTACACATGTGTAATATTTATTGTCCCAGTACGATCTGTATGCCTAGTATATTTTCCACACGATTGTTCATCATGACCTTCAAGTATTTGTACTTCGTTCTCCTAGCAGCTAGTGTTCTCTGAGTACTATTTGATGAACCTGTTTCGATTCTTGTTCTGGGTGTACTGCCAAATAAAATGAAATTTTGTATTCTAGTTTATATGATGCTACTACGATTTGATGGTTACCTTGTTGTTGTGGATAAATCTCAAAACAGTTGTTTTTGCTCGTTTGTGTGTTGTTTCCGACCGAAAGATTTCTTAGCCTCTTGTGCTTGTGGACAAAGTATCCTAAGCGGATATATAGGACCGGACCTGAGGACCGGATCTGAAAGAGGAATTTAGGACCGGACCAGAGGACCGGACCTAAGGGATTATTTGAGGACCGGACCAGAGGACCGGACATAGGAGACTATTAGAGGACCGGACCAGAGGACCGGGCCGATTAGTGGAATAGAGAAATTAATGAGGGAAAAGTGATGACTCATGTGAAACCATAGAGACGGATATTTTCACATAACCCGATGGTAGAGAAAATCTCGTTCCATATAGGATCGTGATAAATAAATATAGCAGTTGCGCCATTCCCAATGGCACTTCTGACTGAGTTCACTTAGTTCAGACTTAACACTCTTTATTAAGTGTTACTTAGCTTTGACCACATTTTTAAGTGACCGAACTACTGTATTTATTACATTACGTTCCTCACAGGTTAAGCTAACTAAAATCAATTAGTTATGTAATTTTTTGTTACACAATGAATGAAGTTACAACGTGGGCAAGGAAGCCTGTGTTCGATTGTTGAAACGACTACTTGGAAATCATCTGCAGTCGCCATGGCATACTGATGAGGTGGTGGCATAATTTTCCTCTGATTTATAACCGGATGAAATACCAAGGCAGAGGTCTATGCTAACCTAGGCTATTTTATTATCTGAGACTTCACTATCGATATCTGCGTTGGATAAGGCCTTACAACATATGAAAGGGAATATCAGGCGGAGCGACAACTTAGGGCTGATGACACATGTGCAAAACGCAAAGGAGATTATTTTGCTATTTCGGCTACTAAGTCAAAAATTTCGGGAATTTTTCGTAATTGGGTTGACTCGTCTTAAGGCAATTATACAGTCTGGACGAATACGGACCATACGCTGGTGAGGGACTAACGAAATATTTGTCAGGTACCGACCGAAGTCTACAAGTTCTGAACTTACCAGCCAGACGCATGGAACAACTTTATATGAGAGACTGGCAGTGACGTATAAGGTTGCTTATGGCGACATTACCTATGTGTAGGTTGACTTCAGTCATTCCACTTTGGAATGATGTCCGTCAGATACAGACCTTTCCCACTTTGGAATGATGTCCGTCAGTTACAGGCCTTCCGATCATTCGAAAGAGGAGTAAGGATACTCTCAGTTCTGCTTACACAATGTGCTAGCATATACGGCGTGCGACTATTTGAGTGACAGTGGCTAATTATGCTGCAGGGGGCACGGCTGGAGGCATGGTTCACCACATATAATTAGATACATATCGAAGATGCGGAGTATACGTTATTCGACTGGTGTCATAGACAATTACTTATGATTGGTTCGCGAACACAGCCTCGATAACACTGACAATACAGCTAGTCATTTATGCTGTTGACGGAGCTGCTGTTTATCTTTCGCGGGGATGCACGATATATATTGTACATATTTTTATATTTACAAAATATGGCACACAAACATAGTACGGATGTTTCCAAGAATATGTTCTTGTAAGGTGCAGAAAATATTGCAAACAAGTGTCAAACACTCGCAAAGGGGTGATTTGTGAGTACCGGTGCATGACTGGGTAGAGAGGCCAGAATCAATCAACTGTGGTATACTATGACCAGGAGACAAATGGATAGGACAAGGTGTACGTACCGCACTGGGTGACGTTGTTGCAACTATATGTGCGGAAACAGGTTACTTAGAGTAGACACAATCGACAAGGTCTGTCACCCATGACGGAGAAAGCTTATTGTGCAGATGATAATTCTGCTATGGACCCAAGTGTTCACTAACAAGTATCTTTTACTCCGGAAGAATTTTACGCACACGGAGCTCTTTACAAGGTGCTGACGTCAATACAAGAGTACAAATTCATTTTAGGTGTCAGAGAGGTGACACACACGATAATATATCCAGGAGCTTATTTTACGCACACGGAGCTCTTTACAAGGTGCTGACGTCAATACAAGAGTACAAATTCATTTTAGGTGTCAGAGAGGTGACACACACGATAATATATCCAGGAGCTACGGCTAGTGATGAGGTTGTGTGTAGTACAATGCATAATATGGTGCGGGAGACATCATTCAGTTACAATCGAGAATTTTTCTATGCGCTGACGAATATAACGCAAACAATTATGAGGCGGTGTGAAGGTGACCAAGACGTTTTATATAAGGTGGTACATCTAAAGTTGACGACAACGTGATGTGGCTTGTCGATGGGTCGTCAATTGACTGCCGAACGGTGGCGTTACCGTGGGAGGACTTGCTATGGCTCGATGAAGAATCGCTGTTTGCTAAGGGATTTTGGTGCTGCCGCGGGAGAAACTGCTGTAGATCGTTTATTTGTTATTGGGCTTTGGTACTGCCGCAAGAGAAATTGCTGTGGATTGTTTCATTGCGAAGGGGATTTGGTGCTGCCGCGGGAGAAGCTGCTGTGGCCGGAAGAAGGATTGATACTGGGATACTACGTTGGGGAGTTACCACTAGAGGATTTGTCGAGACTGGAAGCGGATTACAACGGCGAGTTTTGTGTTGCGCCTCGCCCAGGATAGGCGGATCGACAATCAAATACGGAAATGGATGCTATTGTTGGTGACACAAGCAAGCTACCAGTTGATTACGTCTTCCGGAATACACGGGGTACAGTCGATGGC